GGGAAAGACATGAATAATTTCTGAGTCATGAGGAAGTTGGGAATTTTCAGGGGCCAGGGTTTTCCGTCTTAGTGAATGGCCACTTTAAATGTTGGCATGTCTCTACTAACATCTATCTGACAGTGGCTTATAAGTAGACAGGACCCAGAAGAATTTAACCAAATCCTCAGAAGTCGAATATAAATACAGAACCTGAAGACAACCTAATGCAGAGTTAGACATAAATGTGGGAATCAAGTTGTCTAGGTTTAAATCCTGGCACCATTATTTTATGTGCTTTATAATTACTTACTGTCTGTGCCTTGGTTTCCTTGTGAGTAAAATGGGGGTAATAATATCGACCTAGGGACTGGAGGATTAAATGAGAATTCGTTGCAGGCAATGAGAACAGCACTAGGTATCTAGAAAGCACTCCATAGTTATTATTTTATATATGCAACTATATTCACCATTCCCTAATTGATTTAAAGGAAGGCATCAAATAATTCTTCCATCCCTTCACTTACCTCCCCCAAAAAGGGCTCAGATTTTTCTTAAAGGTGCTGTGATCTGATAGATCTCTCACAATTTAAGTCATGAATAGCAGAAAACCTAGAGCTTCCACAATAATATGTATTCCACTCCCTCTTAATTTTTCAAAAATTACATAAATTAACCTCAAGGAATTTACAAAACAAAAGAGAACTCATGATTTTGTTTTACAGGTGTTACTCACCTAACCAAGCCACAGGTTTTAGTCTATACATTTATTTCTCCCTTTACTCATCTACCAGCATCAGTTACTCACACTGAAAAAAGCAGAATCCTGACTAGAAGCACAGTGCAGACTGCATGTTCTTTATCCTTTGGGGCATAAGGTTGGGTTGTTTTTATGATTCCCTAAAATCAGCTGCTCCAAAATCCTTTTATCATTACAACCTAAGCTGAGAGCTGTTTTTGCTGTCTATATAAAGAGAAACAACATCTTGCCTTGCAAATGTTCTGACTTGTCAATTATGTGAACTGGTGTATTAAAATGGGATTGGTTTAGCCAGATTTTCAAAGAACTTCAGTGTAAGTACTCAGAAGAACCTGTATTTCAAATGTGTGTTTGTTGACCTATATTGCTGACTTCCATGTGTTGTTAGAATGGAATGATCTTCCCATACATAAGTTTGTGTTTTACTTACTCCTGTCACATACCAAAATGGAAACATACCTTCCGCTCTCAATTTAGTATAAAGGATTTGGAGTATAGCCCCTATAATTTTCATCGTACGTTTAGATAAAGCATAGCAAACATGTTCATGTCTCTAGGAGCCTAAAAGCTATCAACCTTTAAGGAGTTTGGTGTTTCTGACATAAAACATTATATGTTTCATATGAAATTTTCTGGGCAGGAAAAATACTGCCCCAGAGAGCCAGAAGGCAAGGACTCTACCATGGAGAACAATTTGAGGACTAGAATTCGATAATAATTGTACTTAATATCAACCTAAGGCAGGCTTTTTCTGTGTGTTTTTAAACTTCTTTAATACCCAAGGCTACAGTTAGCCACTTTGTTATTCATCAGGGAGTGGTAAAGTGCTTTCTCTTGTCTGTGATTATTGTTGGTGGGATGATGACATAGACCTAAAAATCTTTATGAGGCTTTTTATTCTTTTTTAATAGCAAGAAGAGTATAGCGAATAGTGTCTCCCTCTCCCTGCCTCTCTTCTTTCTCTTTCTCCATACAAATACACACCTTTTACGCCGCAATTTAAAGTTTTATTTCAGTAATTTATTTCTTAAATTCTTGCTTTAGCATTATTTTTAAAATCTTAACAGTAATCTCAGGGTGATCTAAATTCTATTTCATTGACTTTTCTGTATTGACAAAAGAAAACTGTATATCATGCAGACATAGCTAGTATTCATGTACTGGCTGGAAAATTACTGCTTGGCTATCGCCCATGGGAACATAGGCTATCACCCATGGGAACATAACATTCTAACAATAAGCTTTCTGCTTCTGTACCCCCGCTTGCACACCTGACCAGTGGATTGACAGGTAGTGAATAGGAGAAAAATAGACCTTTGTGGTTAAGACAGAATGAGGAATGGGATTTAGGGCTTAAAAACCCTGTACCTCTACATTTCGAGGCTGCTTAATTTGGGGTCTGAGTACCCCTGGCAGACCCAGCTGGCTGAATAAAGAGCATGTTTCCTATAACTCACTGATTTCTGGTGGTCCGTGTGTCTTTCGGGGGCTGGAGGCTACAACATTCATAGGTGTTATAAATAAACACTTTTAAAACCAGGATTTAAATCCACTTGGGTGAGAAATTATGCAGAATCCACATGATTAAGTTGATTTATAATGTTCATTAAGACAAGTTAAACTAAATCTAATACAAATCTATAACAAAATAATCTACTAAATTTTCTTAATTGGCTTTTAATATTTCTCATGACATTTGTATATAATTTGAAAATTGCCTTAAAAAACTCTCCTCTAGGTTTCTCTTGCCGTGTGTTCAAGTCTCATCTTATAGACCTATCTCCCTGGTAAAGAAAATGTCTTAGTACTCTGTCATCTTATAAATTTCCCTTTGAGAATAACTGACAAACTATTTCTATTTCTTTTCTGTTACCTAAAGATCTCATATGGAATTTGATCATGTATAATTGATTCACTCATAGAGAATGTTGAAGACTTTGTTATCACAGGATGACCTTTGTGGGTAAACCATTTAATATTATGTATTTAGCCAAATTAAACAGAAAAGAATTTTATTTTCAAGCTCAACATGAAAGAGCCCTTGACTTAGCTAATTAGGCATACTTGAAAAGTGGCCTCACTGGGTAGGATGGCAACTTAGGAGCATGGAGTTTGGGGAATGGTCAATAATACTAGTGTGATAGAAATCTGTCCACCACTAGAAAATTTATCCAGTAAATGATATCGAGGGTAATATACTGAACCAAACGCCTAAAAGTTCCTTTCACTTGAAGTTCCTTTCCTTTTATTCTCTCAGATTTGGCATTTTGCCAACTCCATGAGAGACCAGAGAAGCAGGAGTGTCTGATTCATTGCTATTACTAGGGTGTGTTCTCTTAGAGAAGAATAGAGCGATTCAGGTTAGATTAATAATGATGAGAAGTGGGTAGGGTGTGTGTAGGTGGGAGGGTTGTAGCAAAGGAATTAGATTGTGGAAAAGTAATGGTAATAAAAGTAGTGCTCAGGGCCACATCTTTCTCAGATCTTTTACTAACTCAAAAATGTCACCACTGCATTCATTCAGAGAAAAAAAAGGATTAGATGTCAGTAAATTCTTAAGTAACAGAACATGTCTTACAATCATCTTTAACTAGCTGAAGTTTGAAAGATAAAAACTTCCAAGATAATTTCACAGTGCTATTTTGAAATCTGGTTGAAGTGCTGGTAAAGAAGTCATCTCAGTTTTCTTTCAACCCTTGCCTCTCATATTATTTCGGTCTTAAAAAAATAAAAGGTTTCTTCTTGGTGATGTTTTCTTAGATGGAGGAGCAAGTGTTTCTAATGGTACCAAGAAAATAAGGAATTAAGAGACCATTCTACCACGTTCTAAGACCCTTTTGGTCTTTTTGCTTCTGCTCTTCCACCCCTTGACAAACTTTGATGGTAAGTATAGTAGTAGAGAAAAATCCGTGAATTAGCCAGAATCAGGAGTTTCCTGGCCCAGTTCAGGATCTGAGAGCTAGATTGAAACTTAATCCCTTTCCCACTCAACATAAAACGTCTTGGATTTTCATCATAGACCTTTAATGATCAGTACCAAACCCACCGAATGCAGAGCTCCTGACCTGCAGGTCTGAATCACCAGGGAGAATCCACTGGAGAGGCATGATCAAAATAGGGGAGATGGCTTGAGCAAAGGCATCTTTGCCTTGATCCTCTCCCTTCTACCTGCAGGATAGTGCCTAGAGCCCATGTCCCCTACACTGTCTTTAAATTACACGGCTCCTCAGTGACATCAATATTACCCAGCTCTCCACTTGTGTCATACCTGTCTGGCTAGCAAAAATTATATGTGAAGTTTAATTATGGTATTGGTGACCCTCAAGTGACAAATGCTATCACTATTTTTTATAG